ACTGTTTCCACCTTTCCCCCACACCAGGTATTCTGTGTGGTCCTCCTACCCCATTCCAGAATCACCCATTCCCTTTTCTATCCCAGGGACCCCATGTGCACCTTACCCCCTATTTCCAACAGGGGTTCTGTGTGCCACCCCATTCACAGTTCGACCCATTCCACAGTACCTCGTAGTGCATCCCCATGGCATGGGCTCTGTGCGCCCTGCATTCCCTCCTCCCCCTATAGCAGGATCCCCATTCTTCCCCCAAAGGCAGGAGCTCTGTGATAACCCTCATTTCCCCCTTTCCCCTTGCTAATGGCTCTGCGTGCCCCTCTCCCCAGCACCAGGGGTTCTGTGTACCCAATCCCTCCCTCTCCCATGTTAGGGTTCCCTTTTCTCCCCCCCTTATACCAGGGGCTATGTACATATCTATGCCTATACACTCTTCCCACCCCCACCCCCGATTATTCTTCTTTCTGACTCTGTGATAGGTCATTCAGGGTATCAACATATTGAACTCTGCTGGGAGGAGGAGATGGAGTATTGTTATGCTGGAAGTGGCTGCCATGAACCAGTTTTTCATCTATCGGCAATTTCAGAGGTGCTAGAAACCATGGGTGTTAAAGAACTGACCACAGATTCAAGTGTCCCACATTTTCCTCCTTGAGGTTTTTAAATTTGCACCAAAATCAAAAGTGTCCTGGCCACTGATGACTAGAGCATTCTCTGAGATTTTTGAATCGATGCGATGTGGCATTTAAAAGTTATCGCATTACAGACACACAAACGTAGAAATCCCATTGACTAGAGTTAAGGCCTTTGTAAACCCAGATAATAATTTACCTTGTCTCACTATTATAGGTATTCAGAAAAACCAACATTTTTCCTGAAAAAAATTAAAACAAAAACACTTTGTTCAATTTTTTTCTGTCAAAAAAAAATTCTGTTTGCCTACTGAAAGTTTTGAACTGACTCAAGATGAAACGTGGGGGGGGTCCAAAAAATTGTTGACAGAAAATGACAATTTTCATTTAGTTTTGACTTAAAATGTCATTTCATTTCAGTTTTTTTTAGTTTGAAAAAATTAAGAAACATTTTAAGTCAAAACAAAATAAAAATTCTTGTTTCAAATTGATGTTTTGACATAAAATGCTATTTCCTTTACCCACAAAGATAGTGCAATGGTATGTTAAGTGAAATTTTAGATTTGACATTTCCTGTGGGCAAATTGAAAGTTTTCATTGGAATTGACATGTTCCCATAAAAAATACTTGTTTTGACTAAAACATATTTTGGGTGGGAAAATTTGGCTTATGAAAAATGTTGCCCCATTCTAGTCACTATTGACTCCTACAGCGCCAGAGGTGCCCTCTAGAGGAGTCTAGGTTCATTCCACGGGGCCACGGAGAGAGCTTATCTGCAGCCCCCAAAATCAAGTACTTGCAATGGGCTTCTGTGGCACAGTTACAGTAAGTATGAGGCAGTGTGGACTAGTGGATAGAGCCCTGGACAGACAACTCAGCAGATCTGGCTTCTATTCTTGGACCTAGCCTGTGATTTTGGGCAAGTCCCTTCACCTGTCTCTGCCCCAGTTTCCCCATCTGTAAAATAGGGATAATGACACTGATCTCCTTTGTAAAGCACTCCAAGATCTACCAATGAAAGGGTTAGATCAGAGCTAAATATTATTAACAAAATCTTAATGTCATGGCTGTATGGGTAAACACAGCAGCCATTCTGCCTTTAGCATCAGCTCACAGTGTCCTCAGCTCAGATGCTGTTTGCTCTTTCACAACCCTCTGAACAGATCACAAAATAAAGGAAACTGAGAGCTTATCATCCCCTCCCAGGGGCAGCACATGGATCTCTGTGTGGGATACCCCTGCAACATTAGCACAGAGTCCCCACCAAAGGCAGAAGAGAGCTGAATTTGATTCCAAGGCAGAACACCTCTAACAAGCCCTTTCCCCTACAACTGTCCTGCTATGTATAAACCCATATCTTAGTGTGGAGACAAAAATCTACAGTTTTCTAGCCCATATGTAAGTGCACTATCCACTAACCTGTGATGACACTTTGAAATCTATTGGAAATGCAGACTGAGATAGGTTGAAGGTTTCCTACTGCCAAAACGCAGAGAAAGCCAGTCTGCTCTGCTGAGACTCTCTTTCCATTTTAAAAGGGTATGGATGGATTTTACATTGATGCTTATAGGCCATACTTCCCACAATCTTCAATATGAGAAACTCCATTGACAGTGAGCAAACAGTGGTTGAGGGCAAAGGGGCTGAAGAGATTTGTAGCCCTGTTTTTAGGAGGTCACCCAAAAACAGTTGGTTGAAACTGCTGGATCAGAAACTCACAAGCAAGTCCTCTGTCTCCACAGGAGTGATAGTCAAGCTGTGACTCCCCTCCATAATGTCACCATTTTTGAGGCTATCTGGACAGTCTCAGGAGCTCTCAGGACAGAGAGACCAATGAGCTATTCTTCCTTCTCAGCAAGTAAAGCAACTGTCACCATGGGTATGGTCACCAGGGTTGTTATGAGAGCTACTGCTGAGTTGGCTTTACAAACTGCACTAAGAAATGCCATTCATGACATCCAGCACCCAAGTAGGACAGAGTCATTATAGGCCTCAAGCCAATTTAGGAATTTATCATCCAGAGGTGTATGTGATACACACACATGGAGTATATCAATGGGTTTGTGATCAAATCCCAGTCAACATCCCTAGATAATCTGCACCATAGGATCATCTTTTTAGACCCTGCCCCCATCCCACTGAGAGTACATCTCTCAAGCCAGGTCTCAATGCTTGTGAGTCTGCACCGGTGATGTGTCTCGGTTCTGCCATCTGAAACATGAAGGCAATAATCCTTCCCTACCTCCCAGACTGGTGTTGTGGAGCTATTTTCATTAATGTCTGCAACATACTCCAAGATCCTCAGATGGAAGGCTTTGTGAAAGTGTCATTTTTACGTGACAACGGGCTAAATTCATGACAGGTGAGCACATCCCAGTTCGAAGGATTCTTCTACCCCAGTTACCTCTCCCACTGTGCACCTGTCCAGTGCTAACCAGTACCTTGTTGCCTGCACTGGCAGCCAGCCTCCTGTTACTGGTGCTGCAGGATGCAGGGAAGGGGAGGTTTTTATAAAGAAAATTGTTGAGTGAACACCTGTGTCTGAACTGCTGGAGCAGAAATACACAGCTGCAGCCAGGAGGCTGATTCTCTCTCTAGTGTCACCGCTCTGCACATCTTTTATATCAAGTGAGTAAAAGAGCAGCTTCAGTCCCTCCTCCTGAACCAGTTGGTACCAGAGCATCCGAGTGTGATTGTAAGTTAGTTTGCATTTCAGGTGGGCTGGGTGCCCCTTCTCTAGGACCAGACTCTGGTTTTCATTGATCTGAGCATCCTGCAGAGGAAAGAGACAAGCACACGAGGAAGAGACTATAAAACAAATGGCTCAGAGGGAAACATTTGTAGCCACGTCCCGCAAACACCTGGATGGAGATTTCATGCCTCAGCCAATGACGTATTTGCTCCTAAGAGGCACATAGCCAGCACCAGACTATCCCCATCCCCACCTCTGTCTAACTGAGCAGGGGAGTTTCCCTGAGCACAATTTTATACAGCTGCTCTGTAGTCCTGGTTCTGCCCTCAGGAGCAAGAGATGGGTCTCTTGGTTGTATTATTACTGGTCAATTATGTTATCACTTTTTTCTGCAGCCACAGACCTGGATTGCTCCAGGCTCATTGCACAGGGACTTGATAAGGGGATCTGGGGTCTTGACTGGGAGCTGGACTGTTGGGACTGGGATGGGTGTGTGGGGTATCATTACAGTGAGGAATTTCTGAGTGCAGGGACTACAAAGGCCAACACAACAGCTGTTATTCCTTCAGCAGTAGCTCACGTGAAGCCTTGGATTCTACGGATTTGTGCACTTTCACATGAATACCTTTTTAGGTCCAGACTGGTCTGAGGTCACCAGAGCTTATGTGGCTACTAACTTATGCAAATAACCCCATCTTTACAGTTCCCTCATCCTCTTGGCATGTTTGCCTTTACTCACCTTCAGCATGCTGTCAAAATCCTAGACTGTGACATCCCGGGGCTGGGACCCTCTTTATGTTACTTGTTTATGCAGTGCCTCATGCAATGAGGCCCTGTTCCCTGACTCAGGCCCTTAGGCACTTCCACAATGGACACAATATGAACAAGTTCGGTATCATATCTCCTGTCAGGGACAGCCCCCCTCGCTGAATGTTGCTCCCTGACTCCATTGCTCCCCTGCAGCCTGAGCACCGACTACTCAGCAGAGACAGGCAGAAGGAGCCTTGCTTTGGTGCCTCTTACTCACCATGGCACTGCTAACAATGCAGCGTCCCCTCTCCCTAGGGCTGCCCTGCACTGCTAGCAGTAGGTGTGAGCGCAGGCTGGGGTGGGGATTTGACTCAGGAGGCTGGGGTGTGGGAGTGGGTGAGGACTCCGGCTGAGGGTGTGAGTTCTGGGTGGGGGCCAGAAATGAAGGGTTATGGGTGCAGGAGGGGGCTCCAGGCTGAGATAGGGGGTTGGAGTGCAGGGGGTGGGGGTGGGGGTGGGGGTGAGTACTGTGGCTAGGGGTGCAGAGTCTTGGGTGGAGCTGGGGGTGAGGGGTTTGGAGTTTAGGAGGGTGCTCCAGGCTAGGACCAAGGGATTCCAAGGGCAGGAAGGGGATCAGGGCTGGGGCAGGGGATTGGGACACAGGAGGGTGTCAGGGGTGCAGGCTCTGGGCGGTGCTTACATCAAGCAGCTCCCGGAAGCAGCAGCATGTCCCCCATCTGGCTCCTACACAGAGCTGCGGCCAGGAGACTCTGCACGCTGCCCCGTCTGCAGGCGCCGCCCCTGCAGCTCCCATTGGCTGTGTGGTTCCTGGGCAATGGGAGCTGTGGGGGCGGCACTTGGGGCAGGGGCAGTGAGTGGAGCTCCCTGTCTGCCCCTACTAGTAGGAGCCGGAGAAGCGACGTGCCAGCTCAGAAGTCAACGCCATGGTCAGCGATGCTGACCGGGGCCACCACGATCCCTTTTGACGAGGTGTTCTGGTTGAAAACCGGACACCTGGTCACCCTATGCAGCACTGGTCAGTGGGACCAGGCATCTCCTGTGTATAAGCTCCACTTTTATTGCCACAGGGAGAAGTGCCATAGAGAATAGAAATGGATTTTTACATAGGAATTCACCAGCTGCTGCAAATTTACACATACACACGCTCCAGAGGAAAGAGGTGACTGTAATGCTGCCAGATAAATGCTCTTCTAAGGCATTTGGATTGAATCCAGGCTGGTAACTCCCTTTGAAGCCTCTGGTGGTTTGATGTCAAGCAACATTTCACATTAACATGGCACAGTTTTATAGGCAGGCTTCTGTATGGTTGTTTGCGGGGTACTGCTCTCCCTTCCTGGATTGATTATGACAAATGAGTCATTTGCATGTGAGTGAGTTTCCACCACTAGTTATAAATAACTAGAACTGCTGCTTAATACAATGAGGAAAAAACCTGATTTTTGGGAAGACTTGATTTCCAGTGTCCACACATATGTGTGTGGTTAGCTGAGGACCAGGGGGGTCAGTAATAATAACTGGGGACTGGTAGGCCTACCCCTCTTGAGAGTCTGTACTCTGGGAAAGTAAAAACAAGTTTATAAAATATCACTATAACCTGTAACAATGAATGTTAATAGAAAAGGTGCAAAACGGAGACACAGAGACTAAATCAGTCCAAAGAAAACGACTACTGACATAACGCAGGAGAATGTGTTCAAATCACGTCATTCAAACAAAAGAAATATGGGACTAGAAATCAATAAACCAAAGTTATTGTGTTGAAAATTAGGCCGAAATAGTGAACAAAATAATGAGAGGATGGGCTGTTCTGCCTATCCCTCCCTTTGGGGGTTTTTGAAATAAAACAAATTGTGGGAGGAAAATAGAGAACAGCTGACTGACTGAAGGATTGAAGAAAAGGAAGAAGCGAGCTTCACCATCATGGCTACTACTCTCACTGTCTTTTGAGATCCCAGAATTCACCATACACCGTAGGGCCTTTGTCATTGTGATCTGGAGAAATGTCCTGACCAGACTACTGGGACAAGGAGAGGGACCAGATAACACTGCCACTTCCAGTCACTCTGGCTAAACCCCAAACACTTCCAGGAATGTGAGACTTTATCATCCTCCCTCCGCGCTTAATGCTTTCTTTTCCTTCCTCACCTTATTTCTTTTCTTTCATATCCTTCTCTTTTTGCCTTCTAATTATTAAAAGTCTGCAACAGGGCTGTAAGCCTGTGTTCAGAAAGGCAGCTAAAACAATGCCATAACAACCCAACATTGGTACAAGTTTGTCAGGTCTGGAGATGGCTGATGAGACAGTGGGATGTGCCTGTGTTTCTCCAGCAGCAAGGTTTCAAGTTGGAGTCAACACCAAAATTAGAAGCTGCATTTTATATCTTTGCTGTCCCCTCTTTTGTGTGTTTGTCCCGTTTTGTCTTCTAACAGAATTTGACTTTAACAACAGCTCCAGCCCAACTCAACTAACTTCTTCTCTTTTCTCCAAAATTGGATGGGGCAGAGATGGGCATTGTTTTTAAAAAGACTCTTAACTGAAGGAAAAGGAAACAAGTGATGTCATTAAAATGAAAGTCTTAGTTAATACTTTACATTTCAAATGCTTTAACTGTTTTTCCTTCTTTTTCTGTATCTTTAATAAAAGGTTAACAAGAATTTTTAATGGTGTGTTTGCCATGGTGCTAAGCAGGCTAAAGTCTCTGTATACCAAACCCTAAGCCTTGTTTAACACATGTTTTATGTTGGATAGTGACAGGATCATGTTAACACTTTTGATTCTTTGGGCCCATATATTTCATCAAAAGTAATGCAACAGGCTGTATGTTTCTAGACACATGGGAAAGGATCATGGTGGTTTAAGCCCAGAAGCGTCTGTCAGGATACATGAGATTTATTCCTTCTTCTGTCTCTGCCACTGACTTCTTTTTTTGTCCTTAGGAAAGTCACATAAACCTTGCTGTGCCGCTGTTTCCCAATCTGTGAAGTGGGGATATGAATCCTTCCTCATGACACAGGATGGTGTTGTGGAGCTATAGTCCATTATGTCTGAAAAGTGTTTCGAGACCCTCAGATATTGGGTGCTCTATAAGGGCCAAAGATTATTATTCTTACACCAGCTGTGTTCATGGCAGGGGTGTGTATTCTGTGTATCCCAGGTGGCTCCCCACACTGAAAAGTATTACTCTATTCCCCATTCTGCTCTCTCCCTCTGGCCCCTCTGCAGCACTCACAGAGAATGTACCTTGTTGCTGTCCCTGTGGTGAGGCTGCAGAGTGACAAGGAACAGGCGAGGTTTTTGTAGAGGGAGGAGGTGACTCTGAAGTGCTGTGTCTGAGCTGCTGGCGCAGAAATACACAGCCGAGTCCTCTGGCTGCACAGACGAGATGTTCAAGCGAAAGAGATTATCCTGTGGCTGGTCAGCCTGAAAGTGACTAGAACTTGTGCCTTTCTCTCTTTCTTCTTTATAGTAGAAGTTAAAGAGCAGCTGCAGTCCCTGCCCTGGATCCTGCCGGTACCAGAACATGCTGTCATGCCCATATGTTTGCTGACATCTGAGATAGGCAGTCTGTCCTCTCTCCAGCACCAGACTCAGTGTTTGGGTTATTTTAGCATCACTTTGGCCTGTGGGGAAAGAGACAAAACACACAGGACAGACAGAATGAAACAATCAGCTCAGAGGGAAATGTGTAGAGTAGAATTCTGCAGATGCTAGGACAGGGATTTCTTTTCCCAGCCAATGACTTACTTGCTCCCAAGAGATACACTGCTGCACACCAGACTATGCACATCCCCATCTCTGTCTCACAGAGCAGGGGGCAGTCCCCCAGCATGGGCTTTTACATAGATTTGGTTGCTTCCTGGTACTAGAGAGCAGGATCTGATTGTGTTTCCCCACAGACACAGGGGGCCCCTTCTGTGGAGGCCTGGTTATTTCTTGTCTTGACCCTGGGAAAAGTGTGTGGTACTGGGAATTGTATCTTTAAGTGGGCTAGCATCTGAGGCAGGCAGTCTGGTGGAGGGGCGCTGCAGAAGCTCATACTCTGTTATGCAGAGGTAGTTGAGGAGCTATATCATTGAATAAAGAGCTTCTATCTGAAGTACTTCAGGCCCAGAGTGATCACTGAACACCACACGGTGTCAGGAGCAAACAGAAATTAAAGAAGTAACTTGAGAGGAAGAACAAAGCAACTAAAAACTCCACGAGAGGTGAAACACTCTGGAAATATGGAGGACACAGCATGTGATTGCAGCTGGAGCTGACATACATGAGCTACATTTAATTTTGCTAGCTTGGGTACTGGAAGAGCGAAGTTGCAGCAGAACAAGCTTCAGCCCAGGTTGGCCTTGAGAGTAATTACCCAGGGTTCTGGGTGGGTTTGTCCAGTCTATACTTAAGTTTTCACTGTTGTGGCTTCACTGCTCCTGCACTCAAGCTAGTGAAATTAAAGCTAGGTCTGGTAGGTTTACTTGAGCTGTAATCACATTCAGTGACTACAGTCTAGAGATACCCAGACAAAGAGAGAGAGAGACCCACACAGAAAACTGGATCTTTTTTTTACTAGAAAAGGGATGGTTTTGGCACAATTCCATTTTGTAGAAACATTTAAACATTTTTTTTTCATTCCAGTGAAGAACAAAAACAAATTTTTAAAGCTCAAAAGATATGGCAGAACAGATTTGTCCTGCAGTAGCCGGTTCTATTCCTGCCACAGCAGTTCTTTGATTTCCTAGGGTAGAGGAGGAGCACCACCTAGTGGCTGGCGAGGAATTTTTACATGGAGACATTGCCTTTCAAGCAGTCACTCTTGCTAGTAGTGGCCCAGTCTAGGGCCCTTTAGCATCTACACATGTTTTCTGACCAATTACATTTTAAAAAATAACAGTATCCAAACCTTTCTGATCCTGCTTCCTGCCTTTCCTTCTTGGGATTTTCTGTGATGTCAATTCAGCTGTGACCAAATTTGTATAAGACCCTGAAATCATCATGTCAGCAAACAGACAGGGGGACAGAACCAAACTACAATGACCTGGAGACACCATAGCAGAGGGATCTGCAGGCAATGGGAGAAGACACAGTCCCAGTAGATATAAAGTCACAACACTTGTAAAAAATGGAGGGATGTAACCAGGAGCCTCCCCATCACATTAAGCAAGGTCACTTTACTCTTGTCTTCTTTGTCCTAATTATTGTATTGTAATAGCTGCCACTGATAAGGAGTGAGATGAGGCAGTTGGGAGTGGAGGTGTCCATGTGATGGATGTGGTCTATGTACAGAATAGTAATAGGCTGAGTATGGCAGCCATACAGCCTATTCCCCAGGGCTCTGTTCAGTCTAGTTTTAAATTACTCAAAAAGTGGAGATTCCCGCTTCTGCTGTACGGAGCAGTAGATGGTATTGTTATAAAATATTTACCTTGCTATCTTGCCTGTAATTTCTTAGTTTCACCACATCAGTTATGCCCCCTCAGCTCACCCCACTCCTCCCTTTGTCAAAATCATTTCTCTCATTCCTTGATTTCAAAGGAATCTACTGTGGCAATTCTCTTGCCAAGAGATTCTCTGCTGAAAGATTAGGTGGAGTGTATGTGTTTTTCACTGACCAATCAGGACACGGCATTTCCTGTGATTTTATCCACAACACTGACACCCCAAAGCTGTGTTCCTACTGACCTTTGTGATCTCCTCTATTCACATGCAGCTGCTGAACTGTGCTGGAAGGGGTGGGTGGACAGGCCTGTGTGCATGGGGAACAGGGGGAGTTTTGTCCAGTTGCTGCAAACACTTAGCCCTGTGTCAACTCCAAGCACAGTAATACACCCCTGTGTCATTTGCATAGAGGCCATCAATGTTCAGGAGGAACTCCTCATCCTTGGGTCTGCTTGCTTTGAAGCTTTGAAGCTGCTTGGGTCTGCTTGCTTTGACATGGACTGTTAACTTCTGCTTACTGAGAAGGCAAGCATGTGGATCTGTCCACTAGGAAGCTGCCTATACCAGTAGAAGTTGGGGTCAGCTGACCCTTCCAAAGAACATTCTAGGGAAGCCTGACTGCCCAGCTGTTTCACCACTGATTGCAGACTCTGGACAATGGCTGCAGAGCAATCAGCTAAAAACCTACAGGAAAACCAGGAACTATTAGCAGAATGAAATAGAACCCCCCCTTGCAACCGAGATTAATGCAATGGTAGGAAATTAAGTGAAGAAGAGAGGATGAATTAATTATTGGTGAATAATTCTTCATGATTGATGGTTAATCATTATGTATTTTTTTTCCTAAGGGACAGTATACACACAAATTTACACCAAAATAACTAAATAACTTGTAAATAACATCTTGCATTATTTCAGTGCAAGTCTGTGTGCAAACACTTATTGGGAATAAAAGTGTTCTATGGATTTAGCTTAAAGTGATAAAAACACAGTGTCATGGTTTTACAATGAATAGCCAGTTTAGAATTTCCTTTTCCTATAAAGTTAAAAAGAATACAAATTGTTTAAATGCTTTGTGGGATCAGGTACACAATTTTTAGCACCTTGCAGGACTGAGCCTGGGGTAAATTTCTCAGTAACTCTTCTGTCTTTGTGAACCCTGTGTGAAAGCAAGGTGAGATCTTATATACATATTTATTTTAGTAGCATATTATAGCTTCTAAAGTTTGTAAAGCATTTTGAGATATAGTGTTCTAGAAATGTATGTGTTATAATACTGATATATGAATTACATAATCATAGATGATAATTATATTGTAATTAATAAAATAAAACAAATTTGTACACTACACATATTTAACGTAATCTACTCTAATATAATGTTCATATAAACAAATATTGCTAGCTAGCTAGATTTTTCAAGGGCACTTCTGAAAATCTACCCCAGAATGTGAACACCCTCCCCGTACCCCCCCCCCTTAATGCAAGTGGCTGTGTAACTGCCATTTCCCCTTTCACTGCATCCACAGCCATCTCCTACATTGACACGTGACACCTGCTGCGCATTTCTAAGGGAGCAGGGGCATGAAGTGACTCAGGTCACAGACACACACAGTGACTGATTGGCGATACCAGCAGAATCACCGCCACCAGGATATAATTTAAAAAATGGACCTTGTTCAGCAACAGTATCGCAGGGTAGAAACAGTCATGTTCTCACTCTTAGGCAAGGTTCTGAATACCCTTAACTCCCCCCTAACTTCAGTGAGAAGTTACAGAATTGAGCCCTAGATGCTTAACTGCTAGGGAATCCCTCACCCGCATGTGCGCGATTCAACTGATCATCTGATTTGGTGTCTGGGAAGAACTCCCCAACCCCAGGGGCATATCAAGATGAATAAGGGTGTGCCTCTCGAGCTGTGAGCAAGAAACCTCCATTAGGATCAGATGGGTACATTATACACCATCACCTGCCATATCCTCAGACTATTGGCATGAGGGAATATTCTTGAACTTTGGACATTCTCATCTCTGATGTTTCTAAACATTTGATTTCTTTTGAGGTGTGTTATTATCTCATGACACTCACACACATTTTCTTTTTTACCTGTACAGTTTTAAAATAATATAGCACAGCAGGAGAAGGGAATAAGTGCTCCATGGGGAGGCCAGAATCCCGTAAGCAGTTGCTAGATTTGGTCAAAAGACTCATATTCTCTTACTGAGATAACATGAGTGATTTTATATCAGCCCATTTGGAGACAGCTCCACTGCCTGCAATGTAAAACTGCTCCAGTGCATGGAAAGCATACACTGCCAACAAGAGATACAAACAGAGGGGATAAATTCAGCCATAACATGAGCTGGCATAGACCTTTAAAAGGACATGCAACTGTTTAAACCTTGGCAAAAGCTGGTTTTCATTACTTTAGCTCATTGGTCAATTTCCAGCACATCCTACCTCTAATAGCTGGTACCAGTACAAAAAGGGGTAGTTCTGCTGGGAAGGGCAGGAGCCTGGGAGTCAGGACTCCAGTTTTTATCCCCTAGCTCTGTCAGCAAATCATTGCATGACCTGGGGCAGTTTAACCCATTTCATATACTCCCTCTCTCACTCTCTGTCTCTCTGAGGTTTCTTTCATGATTCCCTAATATCAAGCTGAAATCTCCTCTCCACTCCATCTGTGGTCAAAAGGTCGCAGAACCAGAGCCAACTGAGCAAAGGGGACCTTTTCGTCTGGAGAAATGGGAAATGTTCCCTGAAGGCGAGGTGTGTGTGAGACAGGCAGTAGTCCCCCTGGAGGGAGAAAATAATGTCCATTTATACCTAGGCTGGTGAATACATCACAGGGAATAATCCTGCCGTGGCTGGAAAGGGCTTGGATCAGATGAGGCCTCAGACATCTCTTCCATCGCTAACAGCTGTGAGGAAACATGACACAGACGCTCCGCGTCAAGGAACGAAGGGAGAAGCTGGGGCTGTGACTCACCGGGTCTGTGGGAGGGGACAGGGCAGGGGCCTGAGCTAGTGGGTGAAACCTGATCTCAGCTCAGCTCCTCACAGCGGCGGGGGGAGGGGGAGTTTTTGTCCAGGGGCTGCACCCGCTCGGCTCGGTGTGCGGCTCCAGGCGCAGTAATACAGCCCCGTGTCGTTGGGGAAGAGGCCGTCTGTGTCCAGCGTGAAGTTCTGCTGGGTCGGTCGGGCAGCCCGAAAGTGTCTCTCCGAACTGGCGTCAATCGAATCCTCGCCTCTGGAGAGAACGAGCGCGTGCAGGGCTCCCCCCTGGGGCGGCTGCCGGTACCAGTACATCCAGGGGCTTGAACTGTATCCCTGCAGGTAGCAGTGCAGCTGGACAGAGGAGCCGGGGGGCAGAGCAAGGAATCGGGGGGTCTGGTGGAGAGTCTGAGAGCGCCCGTCTGTGAAAGAGACACAGAGATGAACGGAGAAAGAAAGGAAATGAGTCCGAAAGAAAGAAGGCAGGTAAATGGCAATGAGAAATATCGCTCAGTTCTCCCCTTACAGTGCGGGAGGGTCAGAAGGGTGAGAAGCAGCCACAGACGCTCCGGCATCTTGCTGCCCTGCAAACTCACAGATCGCAGAGCCGGACCCATCGTCTCTCTAAGGCCGCGTACGCTGCTCTTCAGACATTTGACACCAATATTCAAATTCTCCTTTCACATGTTCCCTCTCTCCCCCTCTTGACCCACAATTTGTGACGCTCTTTTCCTGGCCCTTTATAAACCTTATTCGCTCCTTCTCTTTGACACTCCCCTCTGTTCCACTTTCTCTTTCCAGTCTCCTCTCTCTGTCTCTCCTCTTCCCTCCCTCGAACTGCTCAAGCACAAATCATTTTATTTCTGTGCCTCTGTCACTGCTCGTCACCCAGACCTTCCTACCCAAACCTCGCCCACCAGTGGGCCCTGCCAACCCCTCCAGGTTTGGTCAGGTTATAGAATTTCACCATCCAGCTAACACAGCATCCTGTCCACCTTCCTTGTTCCTGGACCTTTCCCTCTAAAGCTGTTTGAAATTATCTTTCTCCCTCACACACACACTCATGACAGAACAGGAAAATGCTGCTGCCCTCTTCCCCTCTGGCTAATCCAAGGCACTCTCAGCTCCAGTAATATTCCCCAATAACTCCTCTTAGGGGCAACACATTGCAAGAGAGGGATATCCTGGAGAGCACACCAAAAGTAGTGACAAGCACCTTTACCACTGTGTCAGCCCAGCCACCAGCAACCAATGCCAGCATAGGGCCACTATTTAAGTGAGGGAAGAATGGAGTGGAAAGGCAGAAGGTGGGTGTCTGGTTGCCATGGGAGGGCAGGTAGATGGGCCCCTATGTTAGGGAGGGATCAAAATGTGGGATAATAAGGAAGGGAAGGGGGATCTCCTGTGGGAAGGGGTATGTCTGGCTTGACCAATATTTGTAGCATGGCTTCCTGGCCTATGACCCAGCAAATCCAGCCCTGATATCATTGCATTACTGAATACTACTTAGCAATTAAATGTTAAGTAATTAAAGCCTGCCCCTACTCCAACTGATGCTAATGGCAGAGTGTGCATGACTCCACCAGGCACAGGAGTTGCAAGTCTCCCAACAACCCTTTGAAGTAACAAGTGATTTACATGTGAAGATGATGAGGCACAGAGATGCCTTTAAATGTCTAGTCAGTGACTGAACTGGGAGATGAACTTAAAAGTTCCTGACTTCTGGCCTCGCTCTTCAAAACAAAAGCACCCCAGTCTGAAACCAGGTTCCTTTAGCAGATCTGTTGCATCAGCACCTCCAACGGAGAGATGAGCAGTGAATGGAGTGAGGGTGACACACACTGGCAGCACAGTGGAAATGTAGCCTCTGAATCCTAGAGCTGTGGTTCTAACATTGAAATGAATGGGACTGTTCCTTGGGCCACGGGGATCTGTGCTAGCTTATTACATAGTTGTGTATTTCATATGTTTTCTGTACATGTTTTATATACTTGGCATGGATAGAAAAATATTTTGTTTATTGTGGAAATTAAAAGCAAAAGAGAATATTTTAAATGTTACAATATTTCTTTGTATAACCAGTCTATTTCTGTGTCAGTTTATACAGTCTATATGGATGAAGATAAAAGGGGAAATAAACAGAGGTAGAGTCATGCTAAGGGTCTACTTCAGGCCACCAAATCAAAAAGAGGAGCTGGATGAGGCATTTTTAGAATAAATAGTAGAAGAATCCAAAGCACAGAATAAATGAGGGACTTTAACTACCCAGATATCTGTTGGAAAACAACACAGCAGCACACAAACTGTCAAACAAATTCTTGGAATGTGTAGGGGACAACTCTTTGTTTCAGGAAGTTTAGGAAGCACCTAAGAAGGCAGCTATTTTTGGTTTGACTCTAATAGGGAGAAACTGGTTGAGAATCTGTTGGTGGAAGGCAACTTGGGTGCAAGTGATTGTGAAATTATAGAGTTCATGATTCTGAGGAAAGGAAGGAGTGACTAAAGCAGTAGACTAAAAACAATGAACTTCAACAAAGAAGACTTCAACAAACTCAGGGGACTGATAAGTTTGGTTCCATGGGAAGGAAATCTTAGGGAAACAGGAATTCAGGAAAGCTGGCAGTTTCTAAACCTGACTATACCACACAGTTTTGTCAACAAAAGCCAGTGGGGAACAGGGAGCTGAGAGGGCAGGCAGCCCCTGTGGGGCAGCAGGGCTCCCATCAGGGAGCTGCCAGCAAAGCTGAGAGACCCGCCTCTCAGCTCCCCACACTACCCTTCTTAGGTCGGTGGAAGCGCTCCTGGTGAGGACATGCACTACCGACCCAAGGAGGGTAGTATGTATGGACATCAGCCATTGCAGTAATTAATGCAATGGTTGTAAGTCAACCTAACATAGGTTGGCTTATCTTTGTAGTTGTGGCAAATTGCCAGCACAATTATGATGGGTCCCACACTTCCTGTTCTTGTGTGTTTGTGTGTGTAGGGGGGGGTGTTCAGGGTGCAGTTTCATGCCCCTGAACTAGGGTATCTACTGTCCCACTAGTAACCCAGAGAAGGGTAGTGAAGAGGGAGGGACCTAGGCCCACACTCTACTCTGGGTCCCAGCCCAGGGGCCCTAGGGATAGTGGCAAACCACTTGAACTAGTGCTTCCTTCCCCTGGGCTACTTCCCTCTCCTGCTCTTCAGCTTGTGGAGCTTCCTGCCCTCTCTCTGCACAAGCCAGGTGTCTCTTTACCTAGGGTCTTGGTCTTCTAGCCAGCCACAGAACTCCTCCAAACTGCTGTCTGCTCCAACACCAAACCACTCTACTCCAACTCCTTCCCCTGGCTGATTGAAGCAGGGGGTTTTTATCAGGTGACTGGCTTCAGGTGCTCTAATTGGCTTCAGGTGCTTTTAATTAATCTATAGCAACCTTTCTTCCCTCTATAGGGAATAAGGCTTCTCCTCATCCTGGGGCTTACATATCTCTCCTAGATCACTCTCCTGATGCCTTCTGGCCATGCTGTATCACACAGTGTAGACATAGTCTAAAAGAAAAGATATTAAAGGAACAACAGCAAAATATGCCAATGCGGAGAAAAGATAGGAAAAATAGTAAGAGACCATTATGGCTGTATCAGGAGCTCTTTAAGGACTTGAAAATCAAAATGAAATCCTACAAAAAGTGGAAACAAGGAGAAATTGCTACTAATGAGTTTTAAAGCATTATAAAAGCACAAATATGTAGGAAAAAGTTTGAATGGCTAAATGTACTATAACTTTAAAACAACATAAAAAGTAATAAGAAGAGGTTCTATAAATATATTAGAAGTAAGAGAACAACAAAGGAAAGTGTAGGTCCATTACTTAATGGGGAAGGAGAGCAAATAACAGATGACACAGAGAAAGCTGAATATTAAATGCCTTTTTTACCTCACTCTTCCCTAAAAACGTTGATAGTGATTATATGCTTTTCACAATAAATATTAACAAAAACAATTAATATTAACAAGACAGAAGGATTTCAGACTAGAATAAGAAAAGAACAGGTTAAGGAATAGATAGACAAGGTGGGTGAGGTAACATCTTTTATTGGACCAACTTCTGGAACAGAGATTCCAAGGCAAGAACTGGACCAGAAAAACACGGAAGCACTGCATGATGGGGGATCTCTGCTCCAGATGTTAATGAACCCATGGCTGCACACACCCAGCTCAGTAGTTATCAGACGAATTCTAGTAATAAAGCCTTTATTGGTATCCAAAATACTGAAGCTGCCTAATTGCATTGTGAGCTCCGTCGAAGGTACACTGCCCGTAGCCAGGAATGATCAGTTCCTATTGTCTAGCCTGAACAAAACAACTTTGGTATTCTCCCTTGAGCCATCAATTTACCCATAAACAAATCTAGTCTTCTCCTTTGAACCATTGTTGTTTCCCTCCAAAAAAAACCCTACCCATGCTCAAGTAAGTGTTCTGATGCCTGGATCCAAATCTGCATGAGTTCCATTGGGACTTCATCTTCTCCTGACTGATCGTGCTGGAGGCTCTGCCTGTCTCCAGCACTCCGGACCCTCAGCCACCACAACCTGGGAACCCTGACAGGTTCAAGCATCATGGAGTGGTGAGAACCCAACTCTCTCTCTCTCTGTTTTTTTCTAGTCTAGGTATAGCTTTCTAACCCTGACTTGTGTGATCAGTTATAGTTTTCTAAACCTGACTTTTAAAATCAAATTTAAGCTAGATTTAATATTGCAACTGTTTTGTTTGTTTGGCTCTCCTTGTATGGTCATTACCTGGTAATAAATAACTTTTATGGTTAGGCTGGTTGCTTCCCTCTCTCTCTCTCTCTTTTGTGTTTTTGGCTTCCCCATTTGCTCTGCAGCAACGCTCCTCTTACCTAAGCTAAAGATCCCTGCAGCACTCAAAAATCCTGTGTGGTTTGCTCATCAAGTGGGTTACTACCAGAAAAATTGTAAGGTGAAAGTGGGGATAGGGACGTGCTGAAACTGTGGCATAGGAGGGTGGCAGCTTGGAAGTGCTGTTCGACCCAGCCTGCTGAGTCCAGGGACATATAAGGGGTCAGCTTGGGAGTACTGATTAACCCGGTCCTCTCAGATGCGCTCTGTTAATGTGTGTGTGTGTTCATCTGATTCTGGGTCTAGAGGAACCCAGCCCTGGGGAACCTAGGTCCTGCAGGATAGCTCCATTGGGAGGGACTTGCAGAAGGGAGAAGTAGAGCTCTGTATGAGAACACAAGTGACACAAATAGTACATTGATAGAATTACAGAATGCCCCCTTCCCCCGCAGAAGAGTAGCCCTAATAAATTAGCATACCCCAAGGTAATGGGCAAATCTGGTAACAAGGGCAAATGTCTTTCTGTGAAATATTAACAGAAGTGTTGTATATGAGATGCAGGAGGGAATTGTTCCACTCTACTCAGCACTGCTGTGGCCTCAGCTGGAGTACTGCATCCAGTTCTGGGCATCACACTTTACCAAAGACGTGAACAAATTAGAGAGTCCAGAGGAGGCCTGAGGTTTTTAAGAAGAGGTTAGACAAACATCTGTCAGGGATGGTCTAGGTATACTTAATCCTGCTTTAGCACAAGGGGATGGACTAAATGACCACTTGAAGGTCCCTTCCAGACCTACATTTCTGTGATTCTATGAATTTTGTGGCAGTTCTCTGAATTCTCCAACTATAGTGACCTCCTTATGGTGGGGTGAGCTTTCAAACTGCAGTGCAGAATATACGTTCCAAGACTTCCAGCTGACTTGTAGCATTCTGACATATATGCTTATGTGGGTGGATGCCACTGCCCCCTTCTT